GGAGGAGGAGGAGGAGGAGGAGGAGGAGGAGTCCGTGCACTTAACGACGACACCAAACGGGGACCTCAGTGGGGTACGGTGCCACAGAGTCCACCCTCCAAAACATCCATGTTTTCCTGGGTAACTGATCTCTGTAGTCTGGAGAGGAGCTATAATTCCAGATTCCACTTGGAGGCTCACATCCTTACTTAGGGTATAACTACATGATATGCCAGTTTGGTGTCGTTGTTAAGTGCCCCCACTTGCACCTGCTGGATGGCCTTGGGCAAGCCGTAGTTCTGACAAGAGCCGTAGTTCAAAAAAGAGCAGTTTCTGTCAGAGCTCTCTCAGCCGCACCTACCTCCCAGGGTGTCTGTTGTGGGGAGGGGAAGGAGTTTGTAAGCCGCTCTCAGACACCTTTGGGTAGTGAAGGGTGGGGTATAAATCCAATCTCCTCTTCTTCTATGCCTGTCACGTGCAAGGTCACTGGTGTGCTGCCAGACTCACAGTAAGATGTACATCGGGGAACTTATCTTAAAAACCTTGCTCATTTGCTCGGCTCTGTGAGGGGGATAAGGAGCTTCCAGTTTCCCTTTCTCACCCTGCTTTTGCCAGAATAAAACACTAGAATGGGAGGGTGGGAGGGGAAAAAAATTAAAAATTAAAATAAGGCCTTGTGTACTTTGTTGTTGTTGTTCAGTCGCACAGTCGACTCTGACTCTTCGCGACCCCATGGACCAGATCACGCCAGGCCCTACTGTCTTCCACCGTCCTCTGAAGTTTGCTTGTGTACTTACAGGAAGCCTTTACCATAGAGTTCTGGGCGATTCCTAGAGCTACCCAGCATTGACAAAGGGTAGCTCTAGGAATCACCGGGAACTCTGTGGTAAAGCCAGAAAGTTTCTGGCAACTCCTAGAGCTACTTTTTGTCCCGTCCTGGTAGCTCTAGGAATTGCCAGGAATTCTGTGGTGAAAACCTCCTGTAAGAAGACGAGGCCTTGTTTTTCTTTTTAATCCTCCCCCCCCCCCCCCCCCACTCTCCTCTACTCTGGTGTGTCGA